AGCATATGGTTGGGTTTTGTTTCCTGATCCACTCTGTATATCTGCTTGTTTTGGTTGGTGCATTGAGACCATTTACATGATGGTTATGACTGATATGTACTGGCTTATCTTTGTCATGCTATATTCCTGCTGTTGGACCCTCCTTTTTCCCTCTGTTTAATTTCTTGTTCTGCTTGGTGGTTCCTTTCTGTTGTTGTTCTTGAAGCTGTGGTCTCTTTTATCTCTCTCTAGAATATCTTTTAGTACTCTCTGTAGGATTGACTTGGCACTCAGTTGTTCTTTATCATGAAAATATTTTATTTCTCCATTAATTTTGAAAGATAATTTTGCAGGGTACATCAATCTGGGTTGGAAGTTGTTTTCTTTCAGTACCTGAAATACTTCACTCCAAGCTCTTCTTGCCTTGACGGTTTGTGTTGAGAAGTCTGCCATGATGCTGATAGGCTTTCCTTTGTAGGTGGTCTGTTTCTTTTCTCTAAAAGCTTTTAATATTCTGATTTTTTGTTGAGTTTCTAGGATCTTGATCACTATATGTCTGAGGGTAGATTTATTTTGGTTATGACTAACTGGAGATCTATATGCTTCACTTATCTGGATGTCTGATCCTTTTGCCTGGGAAATTTTCTGCTATTATTTCTGCAAATAGACTTTTTATGTCATTCATGTTAACACCTGCTGTTTCATTAATACCTATTACCCTGACATCGTTTCTCTTTGCCTCGTCTTGAAGTTGTTGAATTTTTATTTCCTGGTTCCTTGTTGTTTTTAAGAGATCCCTCCTTTCACGTTCATTGGTGGCTATGCTGTCTTCAAGGTCTGAAAGTCTATCTTCAGCTTCATTCAGGTGGTTTTGCAAGCTTTCAATGAAACTTTTAATTTCCTGGATATCTGTTTGCATCTGTTTCATACCTTCTAGTTCTTTTCTATATTGTTCCCTGAAGGTTTCATTGAGTTGTCTATACTGTTCTAGTTTCTTGTCTATGTCATCTTTGAATATGCTGAACATTTCTTTCATTATTGTTATCATTTCTTTTCTCACCTGAGACATTATTTCTGATCTGATGTCTCCTATGACCTGATGGAGTTGTTTCTTTACTTCAGTTGCTATCATTTCAGAAATTTCAGGTGTATGACTTCCAGACTCTTCTGTGTTGATGCCTCCTAGATTTGTTTTGGGTGGTGTGGTGGTCTGCGATTGCATTTTGCTCCTTTGTTTTGTCATTTTTGAAGATCCAGCGGCTTCTTGGAGTGCAGCCTCATTCTCCTGTTTGTGTGTGAGTAGCAGGGAGAGAGTCTTCAGATCCACAGTGCTCAGTGCAGCTCCTGTGCTGGTGAGTGTTGGCAAGGTGCGGTCCCTTATGCTCCCGAACTTTCTTGCATTCAGTTGTTTCCCAGGTGTATGAGGGAAGGGGAAGGACAGGAAGGGGAGGGTAAGAGTGGACTCCCCAAGGCTGCTGACTCTGTCCAAGTTTCAGCTGAGCTCCCGGGGGAGGGTGGGGTGCAAGTTGTTCTGGCAGTGACCACCAAGGCTCCAGAAGTTGTCCAGGGCTCCACATGTTTCACCTACTAGTGGGGGAGGCACCGGAGTGACTCACCAGGGTTCCTAAAGGTATCTGGCATTCAGTCCAGCCCTCCTAGACACACCATGCATGTGGCCAGTAGCCACTGAGGCCCCGGAGGGTGCCTGGGGTTCTGCCTGCCTTGCACACTGGTCAGGCAGGTGCCACTGTGCCTCACTGGGCTTCTTGAAGATGTCTGGGATTCAGCCCAGCCAAGGCAGACACAAATATGGGTGTGGCCAGTAGCCACCGATGCCCCAGAGGATGCCCAGCGTTCTGCCTGCCTTGCACTCTGGTCAGGGAGGTGCCGCACTGCCTCACTGGGCTTCCTGAAGATGTTCGGGATTCAGTCCCACCGCTGTCCAGATTTCTGTCTGGTCCCAAGCTCTGTGTAGGGGCGGCAGCAGCTCATCCGAGTTCCTGAAGCTGTCTGAAGTGCAGCTGAGCTCCAACAGGGGAAGAGGGAAGGAGAGGAGCTGGAACAGCTTATTGTCTTGAAAGAGTTCTATCCTTACCTAAGACATAATTTAGTGGTCTCATACATATTGAGAATATTGCTATTGCATGAATAGCCCATGTGTTTGGAGTATAAATTTAGCTGCTTCTAGGGACAACATTCGTTCAGATAAGGAACTCTACTACTAAACCTATTTTGTTACTTTTTACAGGTAACAACATGAAACTTCTTCAGTTAGACTCAACAATTTTGTCATATCTTAATTCCTCCATTGCTACTTAAATTGGTAAGGCTCTTTTCTATAGATTACACCTATTTTAGCTTATATGAAACCATTAAAGGGGGTTGTGGTTATTTCTAGAAAAATATCAACTATGTCATTTTTTCAACAATAATCAGGCCTAAAATATATTGACATAGGAAGATGATGTTCCTGGCCCACAGAAATACTCTTCAAGGTTTTTTAGTAGGAGTAGTGATGGACTCTCACTAGTCTACCTAATTATCATTCCTTCATGTATTTTCTTGTACATTCAATTATTTGGTTTCCTACAGTGGTGGAAGTTGAGCAGACATTTTTATCCTAATGGACTCTGGCCTTTGCTCATCAGGAACACCAACTTAAACATTTGTCATGGAATAGGTATTCTTCCTGACCATGTTGTCTTTTTTTTTCTTTCTTTTCTTTTAAAAAATAAAAGAAAGAAAACATATTAACAAACAGACATCCATTTACAAAATAGCATAAGAATAATACAAAGAAAACAGAGTTACAGACAAAGTTCTAGGAAATTAACCATGGTTGCTGTATTACCCATTGATATTTTCAAAGTGGCTTCTCAGGAAAACAAATGGGGACATACCAGATTGATCAAACAAGTAATCACTAACTGTTCCTTTCTGTAGAGCAATAGAAGACAGTTGTACATCTATGTTAGCTATCCTTATATACATACAATCACGGACCACTGGACCTGTGTCCCCAGGCAGTTCAGGATACAGGCAAACCCAGACACGAACTGCAGAGTGAAAGGTTTGTGGACCACCTGATTCTGCACCTCCAGGCAGTTCAGGAAGCACACAGGGGCCAAACGTGGGCTGCACCGGTAGTGATCACAGACTGCCCATGTCTATGACCTCCAGGGGGTTGGGGCACAAGGAAAGCCCAAACCCAAACCATGGTGCCAGCAGCTCATGCAGTGCCTGCTCTCGTACCTCACTGGGTGCTGGGCACACGCAGAAAGGGCCCACACTCCAACCCCACTGAGAGCAGTTCGTGGGCCTTCTGAGTGAGGGTTTCCCGTCTGTGCCAGGTGCACAGAAGGCAGAGACTCAGACTGTAATGCCGGCGGGATTGTGGGTTGCCCTCCCTGCCCCCAGGAAGTAGATGGGAAGTACCTGGTTCTCTCGGGGGTGTTAGGCTGGGGCCTGTGCTGTCAGGGGGTCGCAGCCTCTCTGATTCTGTGTCTCCAGTCAGTTCAGGACGCAGCAAGGAGCCAGATGTGGGGTGCACAGACAGTGATCACAGACTGCCCCTGTCTGTGACCTCCAGGAGGTCAGGGCACAAGCAAAGCCCAAACCTGAACCACGGTACCAGTAGCTCATGCCGCACCTGCTCCAGGACCTCACTGGATGCTGGGCACATGCAGAGAGGGCCCACACACCAACCCTGGGGAGAGCAGTTCACAGGCCTTCTGAGTGAGGATCTCCTGTCTGCGCTGGGCCCTGACCATGTTGTCTTGAAAGTGAATCCAACCAGCATCTCCTGCTGTTCCCTTTGCCTAGAGTGCTCTTTTTCTGCACTTCCTAGAGTTGTCTTTCCATCATTTGGTGATAGATCCATTGTTCACCTCCTTCAATGGATGGACCTTCCTGGATTGCCTCATCTAGTGTGTCCAACTTTCAAGCAGCCCTTGTGCCAGATTATTTTGCTCAGTTTGCTTCAAAACACAGCACTACTTGCAACTGGTTTATTGATTTATCTCTTCAAATATTATCTTCTCCAGTATTAGAATGTAAGCTCCCTGAGAGCAAGCAAGTGTTGATGTGGCTTGCTCACTATTGAATCCCCAGTGACTAGCACAGTACCTGATCTACATATTGAATAAACAAATAAGCTTTAATGTCAAATAGTTTTTTCCAAGAGAAATAGCATGTGAACCATGTAAGTAATCTGAAAATTTTTGATAGCCACACAGAGAAAGTAAAAAAGACACAGATTAATTGTAGAAATGTATCTCACTTAACGTATCTTAACTATTGTCTTTTCAACATATAGTCAGTTGAGAATTTTTAATATATATTACATATTATAATATTGACTTTAAAATATGGTATATAGTTTAGACTACATGTAAAGATGGAAGAGGTGAGATTAAAGTAATATTTTAATTAAACTTGCAGTTTAGATTACTGGTAGATGAATTGAATGAAATTTCTATCATATTAAATAGTCAAAATTTGAAATTAGAAATCTGAGGCACTTTAAAATGCATTATGAATTTTGTTTTAATGGCCAGGTAATTCCTGGACAGTATTGGCTCAGAGAGACAGTTATTTAAGAATTCAATGCAATTATCTAAGGATCTCAAAGGTAGTTCTTGTGTTCCTCAATTTAAATGAACTACACAATTATAATATTAATAAAATAAGTGCTCAAGGAGCAAGGGTCAAAGCACATCCCAAGGTAATTGTTCCACTCTACAATGGATATATATGTATTAAAATAATAGGAGGAAGTTCAAGCCACTGATCATTAAAAAGTCAAATCAAGAATGTTGAAAATATTCTGTTTGTGGTTAAAAATAATTTGTACTCCAAGTCCAATGACAATTTGCCAAGGAGAATCAAAGTTGAGAAATTTCTATTAAAAAACATGACTCAGAAGAAAAAATACAGAGGCTGGTAATGAAGGAAATGATCCGATATTTTTCTCAATTGGTTACTCCTATGGTCACATGTTCTGAGTGTCTTTAAAAGGGGGTTATCTGGATTCAAGAGGGTCACAACACCTTCCTGAAACCCACAGCCTCTTTCTCACCTGAAAGAATAACCCTACAAAGCTCACAGAATGTGTGATGCATTTGTAGGTACCTGGAAACTCGTCTCCAGTGAAAACTTTGATGATTACATGAAAGAAGTGGGTAAGGAAATGTATTGTGGATGACTGGGTGTGTAAGTTTTACTCTGGGGAGAAAGGGCTTATAGCTGTTTTCATGCTGGAAGCACTGGCCAGGAATGACAATGCTTTTTTTATACAGAGGCTGCAGAAGCTGCAGGTGAGACTCTATTTCTGGAAATTTTCTGAACCAAAGCTACAACTAATGCTACCTAAAAGTGAACCGGTATTAGAAAGGGTCTAACTGAAACTTTTATGACATATATAATGACAAGATTTTACTTTAATTGCAAAATTTTACTTTAATTGGTTTACTTGGCTCTTTAACCCTGCTGCCTTTTCATTCCATTTCACATACAAAATAGACAATAACTTGGAAAGAAAAGCATATTTATTTGTAGCATGCAAATACTGAAACCACTATATTTCTCATCTTGGCTTTTTTCCTGTAAATGTATGTTAACAGGGTTTTTTTTTTTTTTGGTCTCAGTATCAATCCATTAAAATTTGTGGTTGTTCTATGGCAAACAAAATTTTAATTTCAGACAATATGTGCCTTAAGTGACTTAAATACTTCTATAGTCTCCTGTGTGATTTTTAGTAAAAGACATATTTACTGAGTAAAGTTAAATATGTCACATATGTTACATATGTTTTTTCTCATAGAAGCTTGCAATGTTTTAGACTCTGTTAACACTGTTAGTATGTCATTGTGTGAATGCCAGATAATCACAGCATTAAAGCAATGAAAATAGAGAGACAACTTCTTCTTTGGCTTCTACTTTGAAAGTCCTTTCTCTCCCAACTCTCGTACATGACAAAGTCATATCCAAGATTAGCAAATTGGGGAGAATTTTACTCAATATCTTGTTAGAGTTTAGGATTTAATCTCTTCAATCTCAAAATAATTCTTCTCAATTATACATTATATATATTTCTTATTTATCTGTAACTACTGTTTTCTTCTTTATAGTGGAGAGAAAAATCAGGAATTTCAGCATGAGAAAGACATAACTTTCCAGAATATAAACTAGTTGTGATTCCATACACAAATTAATAAATACTGCTAGAGAAATGCAAGGGTTTGATTAACAGAGACTGATAATTAAAAGCCATATGATATCTCCTGAATGCAACTGGCTTCTCTAAGGAAGGATGAGCAGACAGTTAATTAAGAGAGTAGAGAATAGACTTATTCCCAAACTCAGCCATTCTGGAATCACATTTCATGTTGTATCCATTGGCTACACTGGTCCACTGCGACATACACTGTTGTATTTTGTAATACAGATGGGACTATATGAAGTAATATATTATCTTCCCACTGTGGTCACTTTTCAAACAGAAAGCTAAATCAGAGCCACAGCATTACTTTTTTTTTTTTTGCAATTTCTCTCTCAGCTCTTCCCTATTTTTAACTTTTAGTCACCTTCCATCAAATAGGCTAGATTTATGTGTGTGTCAACAAAATTCAGCATGTTTATGACTATCATAAATTCTGTATAATATACACAGTGACAAGTTACTATTGTTTGTGTATGGTTGTAAATTGTTGTTCCCAAACCTTACACTGCAAAACATGTTCCTCTTTTAAGACAGTAGAAGTTCACAACTTAGATGATGACTGGGAATCAAAATATTGGTTTTCAAACTATTCTAAAGTAAGACATATCAATTCCTTAAATTTTGAAGTTTTGACAATTAACACCTCATTCTTCTTTAATATTTCCTGTACTTTACTGGAAATGCTGTCTTCGTTCTAATATGGTATAAATGTAGAAAACATTCTTTTCCTTTTTGAAGAAATCAAAATCTTTATTTCATGGTCCAATAATTTGGGAAAGAAGCTCAGAAACCTACACTTGGCAGTAATTGTTATGAAATGTGATTTTTATTTTTTTATTTTTTTTTTTTTTTGTTTTTCTCCGGTATCAGGAACCGAACTCACGACCTTGCGCTTGCCAGGCAGGCGCTTTGCCGCTGAGCTAAATCCCCAACCCCGAAATGTGATTTTTATATACTCAAAGTAGACAATCTTTTACCTGAATGACTATATTAGCCCCCAAATTTTGCCTCTAACTTTAAATATCATTTTAATATTTAAGAGGGAATGAAATGGTCAAGTTTGCCTTGAGTGGTTCACAGAGAAAATGAGAGTGGAAAAAATATCTATATACTAGAAGACTTAATCTCTGTTTGTACTCTTACTGAAAATTAACAGTGGTCTTCTGAAGAGTTATACAGATGATAAGAAAAGAATAACCTTATATACTACATACTGCATGTCAAGTTTTTCTTAAATGTTTTCATAATGTACTTATCCACAGAAGCTCTTAAATGAGGCCTGAAGGAGGTCACTGGTGTCTTTCTCCTTTTATCATACGTACTCACAGATGTGCGTACATGCACATTGCTCTGACTGACAAAAATGTAAGAGGAAATATAGACCTTATTTTTTTCTTTTCCTAACTCTAGGAGTGGGTTTTGCCACCAGGAAAGTGGCTGGCATGGCCAAACCCAACATGATCATCAGTATAAATGGAGATGTGATCACCATTAGATCAGAAAGTACCTTTAAAAACACTGAGATTTGCTTCAAACTGGGCCAGGAATTTGACGAATTCACCGCAGACGACAGAAAAGCCAAGGTAAAGAATGAAGAATTAATGCAAAGTGAATGCCTGTTTATTAAATTCCTATTGTGTATAAGAAAATACTTCAGAATAACAGGTTCATAGTGACAGGGGGAAAACTTTGGTCACAAGTCAGAGACCCTGAACTCTGACACCTAAGTCACATTGCCTCTGATATGTAGTCAAGTTCCTCGCCCATTTTTTATTAAAGTTTCTTATAGTTTTAAAACTAACATAATTTTCGTGTCATACAATACATAGGGTATTTGAAGTCAAGTAATAAACAATGCTAGAGAAAATTTATAAGAGTGCAAGAAAAATATCACCTGTAATACTACATCTCATTTTAAATTTATAATCTGTACTTTCCACAGTGTTTTGTATATTCTAGCTTATCTAGTTTGTCTGTCTGTCTATCTACCTGTCTGTCTATCTATCTATGTTGCATGCTATTGTTTTCAAGACTCCTTTGTTGCCATGTATTCTTGGGATATAGAACTGCTAGTGATCTCAAAGTATTCTTTGGACCAACGTGTTGCATTTTAAATTTTGTTTTCTGTCTTCATATACAAATTGTAGTCACTTTTTATTGTGTTTTCAGAGCATCATAACCTTAGATGGGGGTGCCCTGATACAGGTGCAGAAATGGGATGGAAAATCAACCACCATAACAAGAAAATGTGAGGGTGATAAGTTGGTGGTGGTGAGTATTTTCTAGGTGCTACCATTAGGTTATCCAAAGATCATTACTTTTCTTCAGAATACTGACTTACTCAACTGTTGATCTCTGAAGCTAAGTAAGGTACAGCTGCTTAGTACTTAGACAGGAAAACAATAGCTTTTTTACATAGAACAAAAGTGTAATTTTTACTGGCACTGTTTCCACTCTGGCAATTGTGTTCATGGTTTTGTTTTTGTTTGTTTATTTGTTTTAGGAGTCTTTGCTTGTTTTTTGGCCCTGGGGATTTCATCTGGGGTCTCCCACTTGCTAAGCACACACTCTACCACAGAACTACTCTCTCTATCCTTTGTGTGGATCTTATCCCCAACCAGCTGGCTCCCACCTAGGTATTCCTTGCCTCTCTCCAGGGTCCAATACGTTGTGCTGTATGTTTCTGCTTATCTTGTTCACCTACCAGATAGATTATAAGGTTCCCTGGGGGAAAACATGTATTTGGTAAATATCTTTTCCTTTCCTACACTGAGAAACATAATTTAACCCGTGGTGTAGTACCATTGTGACCAACAATTCTTTCTTCTTTTTGCCTGTGCATCTAGGAATGTGTCATGAACAGCGTCACTTCTACCAGGGTTTATGAGAGAGCATAAGCCAAAGGACATAGACCTGGGCTGAAGTTTGTATCAAACTCTACAACATTTCTGGATGTGTTGTTCAAAAAGATAATTATTGTTTTCGCTAAATAGCAGGCAATTTATTGAATATGATTGTATTGATTAAATAAAACTTTTTAGATGTAGAAGGTGGTGTAACTACATATTTATTGTATAGGATAATTCTACACTCATGAGTGAGTGAAAAAATAAAAACTCTGCATTATTGCTTTGCTTCTGATATGAGTAATAAGATACCTCACAATAATGCAAAGTAAAAATTAATATGTATGGATTTTTCAATTTTCCTAGATAGGAGTTAAATGTGTGTCATGACTGAACATTTAGTCCCTCTTTCACAAATCTACAAGCAACAAACTATCTCTCTGAGAGTAAAGCAGTTTTAAACATAGGAAAATATTCCACAGTCTTCTGATCCAAACACTCATAAGTTGTACTAGCCTTATGTGAGAATATTCCAAGAGACCAGTACATCCAATGCTTGTTGTAGACAAAAATCTCCATATAAATTTTAGTCCCTAGATTAATGGCATTAATGGCAAGCCAGATGTTTTAGTCAGTTTTCCACTGCTATAGCACAATACCTGAGATTGAATACTTTATAAAGAAAAAAAAGTATTTTCACAGTTTCACAGTTCACATTTTTGAGGTTGAAAGCCCAAGAGGGAGCACCCTCAAAGATTTTATCTCTATGAGAACCTCATGGTAGGTGGTACTAGTGAGATGAGTGTGTACCAGAGGGAGCAATCACACGAAGAGACCAGAAGGCAGAGAGCAGGAGAGGGGCATCTTATTCATTTGTGGTGTCTAACTTGGTCCCCACTAATCCCTTCTGTAGGTAGTGTCCACCATGAGCTAATCACCTTCCAGTGGCCTCCACTGGAAGATTCCAGCATCTTAACAGAGCTATACTGAGGACCAAGCTTCCAGTACATGAACCTTTGGAGCACACAAATCACTACCAACAACAGTGTGAGGCTGTCTCTAAAATATCTGCAGAATTCAGGACAAACAATTCCATAATATTTGTTCCAGAAACTGGTGACAGACTTATTCATGAATAAGGATTTAAGCCTTATTGTAGTAATAGTTTCCAAAAATTTATTTTTTTCTTTCCTGGCATGGTGCACACCTGTAACACCAGCACTTAGGAGGTTGAGGCAGGAGGACTGCCAGGAGTTTGAGGCCAGTGGGGCTGCATAGTGAGTTCAAGACTAGGCTGAATGACATAGCAAGACCCTGTCTCAAAAAACCAAAACAAACAAAAAGAATTTTTTTACTATTAGAACTTTTTATTTGTATAAAATCTCTTGGAATCTCAATATAAGGAACATAAAAATGATAAGGAGTTTCTGCGGGTAGTGTGGGTGTGCGCATATGTGTGTTGTATGTATGTCTTTCAGGCCTATTGTAGAAGTCATGAAGCACCTTTATATATTACTAGGGCTTGCATACATAGCTTAAAAGTTCTCAAACACATGCTTAGATTTCATAATATGACAAAAGTCTGTTACAATGTATAATGCAGGAAGATATTAGGTTAAATGAACTAAACCTGACACAGAGACAGCATGTGGAAGTTTAAGAAAAGGCAAGAAAATTCTATCTGAATGTAAAATAGTGCTGACTAGAAGCTGGGCAGATGGAAGAGGGATAAAGGAAGGCTGGATTTGATCAGTGCATGCTGTATGCAGGTACTGAAATGTGACACAAAACCTCATTAATAGCTACAATTAATACACATCAACCAAAAATTTAAAGGTAAAGTTTGTGCTGTAGTTGATATCGTGCTGTTTGTGATTTTTTCTTTAAAAATAAAATAAAAATTCAAAAAAGAGTTAAAGACATCATATTACAGTGATACATGCAAACTCACATTTATAGCAGTACAACTCATAACAGCTAAACCTTGAAAGCAACCTATACATCCAGCAGCAGATGAATGGATAAAAAAATGTGGTATTTATACACAGTGGAGTACCTTTCTGCCATAAAAAATTATAAACCTGAGTCACTTGTAGGAAAGTGGATGCACTTTGATATTATAATGTTAAATGAAATAAATCAACACACAAGCTTAAATATTGGGTCATCTCTTTTACATGAAAAACCCAAAATGCAAATAGAGTAAAATAAAAGATAGATAACAGGAAGTAGGGAGATGGATCTTTTGCAAAACGGAAGGGGATCAAGAGATAAAGAGAGGAGGAAGGGAGTGGGAAGAGGATGAAAAAAGCATCAAGATGCGCTTGTACATATACCAACTCTCCACGAGGAATATTATCATTGTGTACTGAAGTCATATACCAATAAAAATAAACAAATTTAAAATGTTCTAAAAAAAATTGGTCCAAAGCTGTTCATTTTCTGAGTTCTCAGTGTGTTTGTGTGGTACTGGGGTTGAATCCAAGGTCTTTATACTGAGCTACATTTGTACTACTTTTCATTTTGAAACACTGTTTTACTGAGTTGCCCACGATGGGTTTGAATTTATAGTCTTTTTGCCTCAGTCTCCCAGAGTACTGGGATTACACCATGCCCCGTCCTGAGTACCTAGTCTGTGTGCAACATTGTTATATAAAGGACAGAGAGGAGGACAAGTACAAATTTGTTTTCTTCATAAAAGCAGGGATTAAGACTCTCGATCTGGGCTAAGATCTAGAATGAAAGGCTTATCATAAGACCAGGCTAGGAGAGGAGAGTACATAAAACCCTGACTTAATCACTGTTAGAGAGATAAGTACACTAATGAGGGGAACAATAAATACTGCTTATATCTTTTATCATTCATTTATAAAATATTTATCTAACATTTATGATGTGGCAAGCACTGTCAGTAATATAGAGGTCAGGGAGAAATAATTATTCTTTCTTGACATGCTCACAGAATTGCTCTCAAGATAGCTGAGTTCTGTCATGAGACAGCTGGTTGCAATACTGTGATCCATTCTCCAGTATACATTGATTAAAGATAGTATAACTGCATAACATAATAGAGATCGACTAGTTCAGAGCCGGTTTTTCAGAAATGTTAGAATTGGATCTGGGAAGCCGGGTAGATGCTGCCCATGAGGCTAGCTGCACGTGATACATGTGACTGCTGGCTGTGAAAGCTCACATGAACCACATTCTGGAGCTTTTACAAAGGCATAGCCTGCAAGTGACAACTCAGACACCAAGAATTTAAACGATGACATTTATGCATTCACCCGATAGCACTTCTTGAAAGAAAGCAGCCCTTGGTTCTCCTCACCTCTCTGCTCTGCCTTCTTCAGTTCTGGCTCCTTACTTCAGCGGCATCCCAATACATGCAGTGGTGTTAATATCATATAAGAAACCAATGTGTACAGGTAGAAAAGAGACTATCTTTTACTCAGACTTCCTTCTTGGGGTGGAGAAATTTACAAAAGCAGAAACTTGATTTTTTTCTTTTATCACACAAGCCAACTGAGTTCTAAAGTGGACCATAGGATTGACTTCTAAATCAATCCATGGCAGGAGGATCAGAATGAAAAGGAAGGTTAACAAAAGGGACACCTTTGTCATAGTGCTCCACTGACCAACACGCATGACCATACAAGCTTGCTGCCATTCAAACAGCAAAGACACAGACATTTAGAAAAAGCAAAGCAAGCTCTAGGAACTTGCTCTCCCTTCAGACATCACCTTTGAATGCACCTTCACCTGTTCACACACTTATTTTGAGCATGAGCCTCTTTTATGAAACTGATTCTAATGGATTTTTTCTGACCTTACTTTAATATCCAGGTAGCTTAGTGACTGTTCAATCTATAGAGACATAAAATTATAAAGTCTTGCTTTATATGTTTTCTTCAAAAGAAATTCTTTATTAACTTACTATGTTATGATGTAAAAACAGTAATCTCTTATTTGCTTGTCCATACAGAAGTGTCTTGAAAAGATATTTCCTTGGGTTGAAGGAATATTTGACACAACGTCAGTAAAAAGTATGTCTTATGGGTGTGGTCCCTGACCCTGTATCTTTCCATCCTTTCTTTCAGAACCACTGAGGTGTGAAACTGGGATGTAAACCCACGTTCCCTCAACCCAGCCCTTCTTAGCAGGCCTGGCACTTGCGAGGCCCACCTCCATTGGCTGTACCACAGATTACTGCAGCAGTCATTGCACAGACACTGAATTTACTCACTTCCCTTGAGTTTCCTTTAGGGGGCAGGTGTCAAATATTTTTTTCTGCCTTGGTTTACCTTCACAATTTCAAATGATGTCACAATATCAAAATTACTTTGTAAACCTAAAAAGTGAATTTTCCAGGCATTGGCTCTGCCTCCTTTTTAAGGCTTAAATCATGAATCACTAGTGAATAATTGTCACCTTTCTTTCCAGTCCTCAATTACCCTTAATTAGCAATAATGATAATAATAACTATAGCCTACACATTATTCCCAGCAACTATAAGCATTTCAGTTACATTAACTAATAGTAATACATCAACACTGAAAGGAAGGGAAGGGAAGATATGATTTTAATATGACTCAGCCAAACCAAAAACAGCTGAGGATGTCACAAACAAGCAAAGATACCCTTGCGTGGTTGGGAAAACATGCCAGTCAGGTGTTCATCAAGCATTCATCAGCTTGTTCCTTCAGGGTCACTCAGCATTCACGGTTCAAAAGGCCGACCTCTACTCAAAACTCTCTCCATCCCACATAACACTTACCAAGTGACTCCTGGGTATAGATCTCTGCAAGACACTGTAATCGTTGACTGGAATTAAACTTGAGTTGTCAATTTTCTGTCCCTTAATTTGGAGGTAAATAAAATAAGTTAAATGCTGGTGCCCAGCATCCTAGCCGTGCTGCCTATTAGCCACATCACAAGCATCACATGATGAGGACGTTCTTTAAATTAAGCCTGTGGTGGTACTGTGAGGTCCACTTCTCCTTGGTTTTCAGCTGTGAGGGCCACTTCTCAGCCAGCTCTCCAGGATGGTGGAGCCCTTCTTGGGAAACTGGAAACTGGTCTCCAGTGAAAACTTTGAGAATTACATGAAAGAACTAGGTAAGACTGTCCATTACAAGATTTGGGAACTGGAGAAGCATTTTGTGATGTGCTGCGGTTTGCACTTTATAATTAATTTTCCTATAATTCTTTTGTGATCCTGGGATATATTCATATGAGCCTAAGATAATTTGTGATTCCATTTCTTATTATTAATACTTTTGCCTCTTCTTATTATGAGTAATAATTGTGTTTTTTAAAATACTAGGTTCACAAAGTCTCTCTAATTATAATCCATATCTTTAAGCCCATTTATTTTTTTTGAAAATTCATCATGCTAACCTCTACATAGAATTTCTCTTTAGCTTGGGCATTTCACTGAATAGCTTTTTCCAGCTTCAAGTTTATACATAATAATCTATGAGTATAATTAAAAATATAAATTTATTAAATTTGTTTCACAGTTTGCTGTAAATTATAATTTTAAAAAGCAGTAGCAATAAACAAAATTTCCAGCCAGTTAATTTTTAAAGGTCTCATTTGTGTAAGAGATATTTTAAAACAGTATTTTGGAGAACTCTCAATTTTTGTGGGGAAAATAGAACACTTTTACTCATTGCATGTCTTACCGCTGAATGTTTCTCATGAGTATAAATACTATTTATCTTTTAACTTTAACTAAAGTTAACTGACCAAACATCAGTTATAAGAGTTGGGTCTGTAACAGTGACAATTATTTTTACCAATGTGAAAAGAAAAGCAATTATTTAACATTTTTCACATTAAATTAAGCCTCACAATCTTCACTTTTTAAACTAGCCTGGAATGATCAGTGGATGCTTACAACTATTAATATATTTACAAATTATAGCCAATGAAACAATGCCTTATCTCCCATGATAAGAAGTCAGTGTACTTATAAATGTAATATTTAGCCCTTCTTTTGTATCAATATTAATTTTCCCAGGAGTAATAAAATTTTTCCTCTATCTCTTCAATGATTTATAAACTTATTTGTTTTAAATTAAAATTTGAAGGTGTGGGAACAACTAGGGGCTTATAGCCAGAAGAGCAATTGTTCTGACTGGGAAATATATGAAGCATGGCACAAAAAAAAATCAATTAAGCACTTTCCTTGTGCTAGTACCATGGTAAGTCTTTTCACCTCATCTTACAACACACCTGGGTACTAGGCATCCACCTTTCTTTGGTAGTAATGTGGGCCAAACCCAGCGCCTCTGCACTGAGCTACACCCCCAGCCTTTTTTATTTTGAGAGAAAGTCTCACTAGGTTGCTAAGGTGCCATGGCTGGTATCAGAGTTATAATCCTCCAGCCTTGCGGAGTGCGGTGATTTTACGCATCTGTGCCACCATGCCTTGATAGTTATCCACATTTTACTGCTGAGAAAACAGAAGGGCAGGAAAGATGTATCATATGCACAGCTAGCAGATGGCAGAGTTGGAGCCAGGCTTCAAGAACTTCATTCTTTTCAGTCCACATGGCTAACACTGCTTCTCTGCACTGCTTCCCTATTCAGTAACTTGAGTGGGAACTAGAGTGTGATATGGATTCAGAGAGAGAAAGAGCCAGCTCCTCTGGCTGGATTTATTAGGAGTCAAGTTTGACAATGGAAAATCCCCAACCTGAACAGCAGAGCCAGGTCTTCAGCCAAACATCGCCTGTGCCTGTAACATTCCACGGGGAAAAGTGAAAGCATTTCACCTGGAAGGCACCATGCAAATACGCATTTTATATAAAGCACAGTTGTCTCGGAAAGTGAATCTGGCATTCCAAATGTTAGGCAAGATTATTACCTATACCTTATGACTGGGAGTCCACAGAGAGCATAAAAGAAATTACTGGATGTTATCCAGAACTTCCATGTGTCTCTGTTCTTTGCAAATTGTTTCCAGAAAGGCTGGTTAGCTTATCTGAATGAGGTGAGTGTTGCTTTCTCTGTCTTACAGGAGTAAATTCTGCAACTAGGAACACGGTGGGATCAGCGAAAGTGAAGATTATTATTAGTAAGGATGGGGACACAGTAACCATCCAAACAGAAAGTATCAAAAGCACGGTTATCTCCTTCCAGCTTGGAATAGAATTTGATGAAACCACTGCAGACAACCGGAAAGTAAAGGTTAGAACTAAATATTCCTGATGTTCAGTAATCAGGAAAAAGCGAGGAGGTGGTTAGGCTCGTTATTCTCTGTGTAGCTTGACTTACTACCAAGTCAGTTTTTAAAAAACGTGTACATCTCTAAACTCAATCCTTTTGCTCAGTCATTTCTGGTGGTTTAATATGGCTACAAAATTGAAATTGTTTTTAACTTTGTTTCTTCCTGATCTTGCTTTGTCACTGTGTAAAGATTCATACGGAAAGGAATGATTAAGCACAAGTAGATTAGGAATTGTTGCCTCAGTGCCCACAATAAAACAGAGAAAACATTACTTGACTAGTTCCTTGGGACTTCTAGTTTAATGGTATGAAGTTATGACACAAACCAAACTAAGAATTTTGAAGAACAAGATTTTGAAATATAAATTAAATGGTAGATGTCTAGTTCTTCTTGGGTTAGAATGTACTGTATTGTTAATTCTAAGTTATTTCCTTGTGCATTTGTAGGGTGTCATAACATTAGACAGTGGCTCAATGATTCATGTCCAAAAGTGGCTGGGCAAAGAAACAACGATCAAAAGAAACATTGTAGACAGAAAAATGGTAACAGTGAGTTTCCCCAATTTTGTATGTGCTTCATTCTTTTCAGTCCACATGGCTAACACTGCTTCTCT